AACTTTGTGAGTGTGGAGTATTTTGTCTCAGCAAAGAGAACAGTAGCTAAGAGACTGACCAAGACAATTGCATAACTCACATGGATGAGTTAGATAATTATGGGCCCAGCATTGAGGTTCATTCCTTGCGTTCTCCGTCTTTCCTTTTTTCTCCATTACCAGCCAGCTTCGAAGGGCCATTCACTGCGCTGCTGCAAGCTGATTTTGTTTCCATGTTGGGGCGCAGTGCCATCCCGGAGGCGGCTTGAGCACGGTGTATCCGTGTGTGCAGCCATGCTGCCCAGCTGCTCCTTCCTAAGTTGTCTTTCTTGGAAAACACGGAGCGATCACCCCCATGTCCAGGTCTCTGTGGACGCCCTTGGTTTTATCTTCAAGGGGGCTCACTCTGTGTGAACCTGCTGGTCAGAGAGAAAGGCACCTTGCTGTGTCCCTGGGGAGGCTCCTCTGGCCCATGAGCAGATCGCGCAGCCCACAATGCCAGCCCTAGAAGGAGCCCTGTCCCTCGGCTGTCACTGTTGGACAGCACCTCCCCTGGCCTGGGCTGGCACTGGGACCCGTCCTGAGGGGTATTGCTGTGAGTTGCCATCTCCGCTGGCTCTCCCTGGGGTACCCTTCTGAATGGCACTGTGTGTACCACGCCTTTCTCTTACCAGGGCTTTGAGGTCAACAGAGATGCCCCATTATAAGGAAGGAGGGAAAGTCGATCTAAGCCGGGCGTGGTGGCGCATGTCTGCAATCCCAACACTCCTGAAGGCTGAGGCAGGAGCATCACCATGAGTTTGAGGTCAGCCGGGGCTACCTGGTTAGTCAAGGTCAGCCTGGAATACATAGCGAGACCCTGTTACAGAAGGAAAAAAAGACAATCTCGTTGAGAGGGTAAGTATTCTATTTTAAATGAAAGCTCCGCACGGGAGAGTCTACCCTCTTTCCCCTTCGCTATGACCTTGCTGAGAAGGAAGAATGACTGTAGTATTCTGTACGTATTTGTAGGACACTGTCCAAATATTAATTTTCAGAGTCCCCAAGTCCTGAAAATTTTAAAAGAAAAACTTTCTACTTTATTGCTTCACTTGCCACCTCCTGCCAAAACGAGGCCACAGTTTGGCGGGAGGCTCTGCTCATGTGTATGGTTTACTTTGCAGCTGTGCACTGCTAGAGACCCTTTCCCCTCATACGGCCTCTGTGACTCCTTTAGAGTCCGCACCGTCCTGAGACATCGCCATGCGCATGCTGTGTGCCGCGTCGGTGCGGGCGGTAGCGAAAGCATTTACACCTGCCTTTCCTTCTTGTTTAATCTCGATCTCCTTTGTGAGAAGAAACACATGCCTATATTATTTTTTGGAGAAAAATAAAAATTTAGGGGGGAAAAGCCCCAAGCCCCCAAACTTTCACGCCGAGTGCGGTTTGACCCCAAGGCACTGGAGGGCGCTCCAGCAACGGAAGAGGACCCGGGCTGTGGAGCCGGCAGACCGCCTCTTAATGAACCGCCGCTTTGGGGAAAGACAGGGTTGGGTTTCCTGCTCATTTTTAGGACAAATGAAAGACACATGGATAGCAGAGGAAACGCTGCTCTACTGCCCTATAAACGGTCCCTTTAAAAGTTTACGAGAAACCTAAGAAGTGGCTGTGTGCCGCAGCCCCTCGGCCGTCTGTGCGCGGCCTCGGCTGCGCTGTCCCCAGCCTGGGGCTCTGGTCCCTTCGGCCTCAGCTCAGACGTCTGTCTGTCGCCAGTCCGAGGGGCCGACCCTGCCCGCCCTGCACACGCAGCACCTCCCCCGGCGCACCCCGCGCTCCCCAGGCCTGCCCAAGCGCCCCCTTGCTCCCTCGCACCGGACGCTCCTCTGCCTGTGCCCGCCCGCCCCCACCCCCAGGACTGGGGTCAGCAGCGATCGGGCCCCAAAGCTGCCGCAGCCCACATGCCGTTGTCCGGAAAGGAATTACGGAGTAAGAGGACCTTGGAGAACTCTGAGATATAAAATAAATGGCTCTTTGAGCTGAGGTTTTTGGGTCCATTTGAGCTCAATTTGAGCAGAGATGGGAGATACTCAAAGCTCTGTCTTCCTCACATGTGCGGGGACAGTGTACCCAGTTAGGTTTGGGGGTTATTTGGTGCTGCCAAGCCACACCCCAGCCCTGCACGCGGTTGGCTTGAAGGCCTCCTCCTGCCGTCGTGGGACGTCCCCGTGGTCATATGCTGCTGCTGCTGCTGCTGTCCCTGCTGTCCCTCTGCACCCCTGGGGGGTCGAGCCTGTGCCTGCTCCTTCTGCTCCGTCCTTCCAGCCCGCCCCAGCGCAGCTCACTGCATCCCGGTGTGCACCCAATCAGATGTCACCTGCCGCGCCTCAGCACCTTTCTGCTTTGCTCCCACTCTTTCTCACCCGCCCCCAAACCCAGCCCGCCCTTCAGGGCGCATTGTCAGCCCCAGACGGCAGCCACGTGTGTCCTTCTGACAAGTCCTGCCCTCTGATGGCTCTCCATGCCCTTCCCTTGCGGAGGTCTCTAGGCCCAGGGCTCCCTTCTCCACGTGCCCGCCCGCTGCCGGGCAGGGGACAGGCGGTACTGTGGACCCAGCCGCAGGCCTCATGCATAGTCAGAGACAAGCACTGCGCTCCCAGCCGACTGCATTTCCTTTCTATGGCTGAGTACTATTCCAGTGTACTATGTGCATTTTGTTGTCCATTCATAAGCTGACCGATACTTGGTTTATTCCCACCTTTGAGCAGTTGTGAATAGTGCCATTCTGAGCATTCAGGTACAAGTATTTGTTTGAGCACCTGTCTTGAGTTCTTTTGTGTGTGTGTTTAGGAGTGGAATTGCTGGGTCACATGATAATTCTGTGTTTACCTTTTTGAAGAATCACCCAGTTATTTCCATGGAGCAGTAATGCACGAGACTTCCTATTTTCCCACATCCTCGCAATACCTGGTTTTCTGTTGTTTTTATTAAGACCATTCCAGCAGGTGTGACATCACGCTTCCTCGCGGCCCTACCGGGTCGTTTCGGAGACCACATCGGCTCCTTCCCTGCTCCGCTCAGCACCCATCCAGGGTTCCTGAGGACACTGCCCGCCCCTGCCCGCGCCCCCCCCCAGCGCCTCGTGGCCCCGCTTTCCCCGCGCCCCTCCTTGGCACCGCGGCCCTTGCTGTGAGTGGAGCACTCGCCTCGAAAGCCCCTCGCAGGAAGCGGCCCCAACGCTATTCCCGCCGTACACGCACGCGGAGGCAGCCTGCTCCCCGTGAGTGTGGGAGTGTGTGTTTTCCTAGAGTAGATTGTCCAAACACTCTTGCTAATTTAGGATGTCATATCCGAAGGTTCTTTCTTGGCTTGAGTTTTTGGACCCATCCCAGGCCTGTTTTCAGTCTTTTGTGAAGTTTGCCTAAGTATACACAGGACCCCTTCTGACCGCCCTGGGCCCCGTTGTTGGTTTCCGAGGTTGGGCTGTAGGTAAGGGGACCCCTGAACGTCCGCGTGCGGAGTTACCCCAGCCCTGAGCCCTCTCTAGGGTGACACAGGGCGGCCTAAGTCGCCTTCCTGATTCTGTTTCGGATTGCTCTCCCATGCAGCGCACTTCTCTTCCTTAACTCAGGACTGAGTCCGTGGGCCGAGGTGTATTTTTAAAAAATGCTGTTTTGGGCTGGGCCAAAGCTCGAGGTGGGGCGCCAGAGGAGCCTGCACAAGGCCCTGGGTTCCATCCCTCCCAGCAAGACAGACTGGGGCCTCTCAGCTTGGGAGGGGCGTCTTAGCAGAAGCCAAAGCAGTGTCTGCTTCATCCCGAAGTTGTCCTGTTTACTTTTTTCCTCAACCCAGCCCTGCCCCAGGCACCCCTGGTGTTCACTGGGACCAGGTGGAAAGAGCACATCTCCTCCCTGTGGCCAGCGCCTTCTTTTTTATTAGCGGTGTTTGCAGTCTGTTATGACTGGGCTCCTCCTGAGGGGCGGCGCCTGCACACGCCTTCATCCCTTTGTAGAACCCTTCCGCTGCATCCTAGCCCCTCCTTACATCTCCTGGTTCTCTTCCGGTTTGCAGAAGTTCTATCTCCCTGTTTCCTGTTGTCTGTCTTTCATTTTGGTCTTTATTTATGCTTTATGTTGCTCATAAGCAAAACCCTGTGATAGTCAAGCTTGTGTGTCTGATTTATTTCACTTAACATCGTGGTCTCAAGGTGCATCCATTTCCTTGCAGATAATTCAAGTTTATCCTTCTTGATGTCAGAGTAGTGCTCCATTGTGTGTAAATAGCACATTTTCTTTATCCATCCCTCTGCCGAGGGCCATACAGGCCACTGCTTCCAGGATTGAGCTGCTGTGGGTATTGTTACCGTAAACATGAGTATGGGAGTATCACCATACTGTGATGTTTTTAACTCTTTCTGGCCCACATTGTGAATTAGGGCGCCGCTGCTGTTGAAGGCCTGCACTGGCGGCTCCCCATGGGGCTCATCACTTCCCCTGCAGCCGTGGGCCAGGGTTCTGCTGGGTTTTGATGCCAGCTGGGCTGTAAGCCCCTTGAGGACAGGTGCTGCTTGGTGTTCACTCCTGTCTTTGGCACGGGATGGGGCTGCTCACTTGCTGGTCTTGGAGGCAGCCCGCGTCTGTGGGGGCCGCGAAGCATTAGCAACCAGCAGTGCCCCGCAGGGTGAGCAGTGTGTGGGCCCCACCAGCATGTAGTGTGTTCAGCAAGGATCAGGGTACCAGCCAACAGGGCGCCGCTGGAAGATGCAAACAGGACTGTTGACACAGGTGCGTCTCGTTAATTAGTACACTGTTGAGGGAATTCGCACAAATGTTAATATTTCCAGGATTGTTGTTAATGAGGGATAAGGAACTCATCTTTTTATCTGCACAACCATATGGTTCATGGCTTGATGTGGTTTTCTTTTTGTAATGTTTTGAAACTTGGTTTTTATTTTAGTAAGGACAAAACTGTTTTCTTGCAGAACTCATTATTGATTTTATTGTGCAGGAAAGTGAGAAAAAAGAACACTTCAGAGGATGGTGTTTTATCATAGAAGTACGAGAGTGTATGGCCCGCTTCATTATTCGGTCCTGCGTGTGAACAGCCTTCTGAAGAGAACGGGATTCCGGGCTGGGCACGCAGCTCGGTGGTAGAGCACTTGGCTGCGCCTTATCATGCCCTGGGTTCTGTCCCAGTGCTGGTGGGAAGATGAGGGTTGTGCCCCCAGGTTCTGATCATGATTCCCGAGGGGAGAAGGGAAGAAAATGGCCCCGGAGCATTTCTGTGCCAGGCTCAGGGCAGAAGAGTCGGTCTCTGGTATGTCTCATGCAGGAAGTGGCCTCATTCTAGCAGGTGTGCGGTCCACCGCTGCTGCCGGGGAGGAGGCCCTGGAAGGAGTCATTACCATGGTTGTGTCTGAGTCTTCAGGCGGCCACTGTAGCGCCTCTGCTGGCAGTTGGTCCTCAGTAAGCTTGACTGAACCGGAGGTGTTCATGGCTTAAGTACAAAGGCAGAGTGACTTTCAGAGGGGATGGGGACTGACCTATGAGCGGATTTTTCTTTCTTTTGGTTTGTGGTTTTCATTTTCGTTTGAGACAGGATCTCTCTATGTAGTTCAGGCTGGCCTTGAACTCACTATGTAGCCCAGGCTGGCCTCGAACTCACGGCGATCTTCCTGCCTCAGCCTCCCCATTGCTGGGATTACCACCATGCCCAGCCACTCAACAGATTTTAATGGAGGACAGGAGGGGGAAAGGTGTTCCTGGCAGAGGTAACTGCACGGGCAGAGGTCTGCCAGGAGTGAGCAGAAAGGAAGGTGCAGTGTGGGATGCCTGGTAGCACAGGGCTGGGCAGACAGCTGGTGTCATCCCCTGTCACTTCCGCCTCCTGCCTTTCTTTATTTTAACTACATTCAGAGTGCACTGGGGCACTGGGGTTTATATAGCTTAGTGGTAGAGCACTTTCCTAGCATGTGTAAAACCCTGGTTTGGTCCCCAGCTCCGCAAAACGGAACACACTGGGAAGGTTAATTGGAGCAGACAAAGTGATGGCCCTCCTCACCTCTGATGTACTCACTGCAGTTCAGCAGTTGTTGTTTGCAGCCGTCAGGTAACTCCATTTCTCGGGGTACTACACACTTAGCTTCCTACATCTGCAGTTAATTTGCTAAGAGTGCTTAATGAGAAACTTCAAACAGTTTAAATGTCAATTACCAAAAAAGTGAGGTTTTCAAGTTCCAGTAGTCTGCTGCGTTGCTCATCGGACGTCATCCCAGGTGGACGTAATTCAAGACAGATGACATTCCAGGGCTCCAGTTACAAAGGACTTCTCTATCTGGGGACTAATAGGCCGGCTCCTGTTGTCGCACCCTTGCAGGAGAGTCCAGGTCTGTCCTGTCCAGCTCCGGCTCGTGTGCCAAGATTGCCTTGTACGCACTGTTCACCGTGGTTGTGTTGGGGTTAGGGGTTTTGCATCAGAAAAAATCCAAAAGCTACCGTGTGTCTAAAACTATATGCAGTGTGGTGTAAATGTAACAGTCCAGTTTTAATCCTCTACTTCTGAGGAACACGAATTCATGGCGCTTTTCATCATCAGCTTAATTAATGGCATAATCGCAAAAGCTTTGACTCAGAAATCCTGAATTGTTTTTTCCCACTCCCTCCTCTTTTTTGTGTTCTTTCCTTTGTCTCTGTTTTTCTCAATTAAGGTAAAATCCATGAAGAATGGGTTACATATGGTGATGAATCTTATTTTAACAGAAAGTAAAACCAAAACCATGCAGAATAAATTAACACGGCATTTTCTCTGCGGTCAGTTAGTGGGTGTTACATCCTTAGTCGTTTGTGCTACAAAGTAAATAATTTTTGGCAGCTGGTTTAGTTTTCACCACTTCTAACCCTATGACAAATGATCCTGGAAGGTCTTTGGTCTTAAAAAGAAAGATTTTTTTGTGTGAGAGTTTTAAGCTGAGCTTAGTGGGTTTTTTTGAA